AAATTTGCCATAATATTACTTTTACAACCGCTTACACACATATTCGTTAAAATCAACATAAACACACATATAAAAATATCATGATGCATTTTCCACAATTACTCACAGTTTAAAAAGACATTAAACTTTATTTACAAACAATGAAATCACACCCTCGCCAAAACCAATATCATCAAATCAAATCCAATCATCCGGGAATAAAGGACAAGAAAATAAACAAAATGCGAATAAAAACACAAAACCAACAAAATCAAAAAATTCAATTAAATTTCAGTAAAATAAACGCGATTGGAAAGTGCGTTTTAATGAACCTTTATACTGAGTTCAAAAAAAAGAGAGCCAGAAAGACAACGAAAACTATTCCATACAGTTTATAGGTGGGGAGGAGGTTAATACGGTGGTTAGAAATTTATATGATTTTTTTGTAACGCTTAATTGAAAATCAAAGAAGTAATGAACCCTGTAAGAAAATGACGTCAACCAATTGTTTACTTTAGAGAAAAAACATTTAACTTGAAGAAAATTTATTTTAAAAACTATATTTTACAAAATTTTAGTTTCGTTTATAATTACCATCTCCATTCCTGGGTCTTTTTAATAAATATGGTGAAGATGCCCTCAAAAAGTAATAATAATAGAGGAGCCGTCAAGGACCAATAGATAATGTCATTCTTATTATCGACTACTTGATATATAGCTATTATACTATGGGCACTAAAGATAATACGCGTTAGAGTCGCTTTTATAGTTGAAATAATTTTCGCCATTTTAATTTTTACAAAAAATTTTGATTTATTTTTTTAAACTTAAATCATGATGTATTTTTTTATGTATATATCTTTGGGAACACTTTCACTTTATTTTAGCATTTTTTTGTTTCTTATTTCGAAAACGAACTTTACTCGAGGAATCACAAACCGCAACTAAATACAAAGACTAATCGTCAATTAAATTTTTAGCACAGGATCTTAGTTGGAAAGTTCATTATTAAAAGAAATTAACACGTCTAGTGTTGTAGATAGTTTGGGATTTTTTAATCGTTTTGAAAAGTAGTCGAATTGAAAATATTCAACATTTTTGATGAATTCTCTTTTTATAGAAAAATTTTCGAGAATATTTATTCTTTCTATAGAAAATTTATTCTTTTTATAGAAAATTTCTGAGAAAATTCTCTTTTTATAGAACATTTTCGAAAAAAATCTCTTTTTATAGAAAATTTTCGAGAATATATTTTTTTATAGAAAATTCTCTTTTTATAAAAAATTTTCGAGAAAATTCCTTTTTTAAAGAAATTTTTTGAGAAAATTCTCTTTTTAAAGAAAATTTTCGAGAAAATTCTCTTTTTAAAGATAATTTTCGAAAAAAATCTCTTTTTAAAGAAAATTTTCGAGAAAATTCTCTTTTTAAAGAAAACTTTCGAGAAAATTCTCTTTTTAAAGAAAACTTTCGAGAAAATTATCTTTTTAAAGAAAACTTTCGAGAAAATTCTCTTTTTAAAGAAAACTTTCGAGAAAATTATCTTTTTAGAAAATTTTGGAGAAAATTTTTTTTTAGAAAATTTTGGAGAAAATTTTCTTTTTATAGAAAATTTTCGAGGAAAGTTTTTTCTTTTAGAAAATTTTCGAGAATATATTTTTTTATAGAAATTCTCTTTTTAAAAAATTCTCTCTTTGTAAAGAATTTTTATAAAAATTAGTTTTTAAATTCTTTTCAATTAAATTTTTGAGAAAATTTTCATTTTATAGAACATTTTCTAGAAAATTCTCTTTTTATAAAGAATTTTCAAAAAAATCTCTCTGTATAAAAAATTAACGAGAAAATTCTATTTTTAAAATTTTTTAAGAAAAATCACATTTTATACAAAATTTTTTTTTAAAAAATTTTCAAAAAATTATTTTCTTATAGAAAATATTTCGCTCTTTTATAGAAAAGTTTTGTAGAACTTCTCTTTTATAGAAAATTTTCGAAAAATATTATTTTTCTATAGAAAATGTTCGAAAAGAAATTCTCTATTTATAACAATTTACGTATACATTTTTAAGAACGAATAATTTTGAATCGATTCCTCATTTATTATTCGATTAATCGCATACTCCCTTAACAAACATATCATACAGGTAGGGCATTAAATAGCTCAATAATAATAAAAAGAAAATGTATCATACACAAACTTCCAATGTATTTAAGTTCATTTTAAACGGTTTTTTGTTTCAAAAGTCATTCATACATAGTACTACCTCTCCTTTATTAACTTTTCTTCCTTTAGTGTGTTTTTCTTTAGTTTTATTTTTTGTGTGAAAATCATAAACTTGCTGACTGCGTTTTGGTAATATAATAAACTAAAAAAGTACATTGTACATACATACGTTCATACATATGTATGTATGTATGTATGTATGTACATGTCATTTTTTAATTGTGCTCATACAAAGATGGTCATCGGTCGTTGGTGGAGAATAATTTGAAAAGTCGTCATTAACATTACTAACAGCAGGTTTCAAGGGACTTCCCACTTTGTAATTTTTCATTTTTTTTAAAGAAAATGTACGTACCAAATTTTAGATATTTTTATTACTAATTACTTTACATATGTAACAGTATAGTGTAATTAAATACCTTAAAAGCTTAAATAATCTAAAAGCTGTTTTTCTTCTATTATCATTTTCATTTTTTAAGTTTTTCAAAGATCTTTTCGTACCACCTTTATAACAAATGTTCATTGTTTGTAATTATATAAAAAACATCAAGAAATTAGAACAAAGAAGTTGTTAAAAACGCGGTATGTCTCAAATTTTTTGTAAACATATGTATGTATGTATGTACTATTTATATGTAAACATGTACGTAAATATTCTTGTATTTGTGTGCAACTGTGTTAAAAACCTTGGCCGCCAAATGGACAATATGTGATTTCCTTTCCCTGTAGTTTTAAAGGTGGAAAAAGGGAGTAACAACTACCCAGTAAAAAATAATTGATCTCATACTTTACAAACTACATCTTAATCACATCTTAAAATGCGATTACGTATTTTTCACTTTTATAAACCAAATGAAAACCCAGTTAAAAGTGAGGAAAGAGATGTGGAAAAGTCATTACAAATAACATATTTGAAGTACATTAAGATTTGGTGAAACAGTAGTGAAATTTACATAAGCATGTCATTAAGAGAATGTGTTTTATTTTTGACATCCAAATATCGGATTTTTACTGCTTCTAAAATGTAGTTGACAAAATGAACAACATCCCTCAAATGACACGCTAATGTAAAATTCATAGGTTTTATACCCGAATTTATTAGTTTATTAGTTGTGATGAAAATACTACATCTTTTCCACACTTTTTTTGCTGGGTAATACTTCGGTTTTAGAATTAGAATTAGAATTTTATCTCTGTTACAAAAAATTTACAATAAATTCTCTTTAAAAAAAAAAAAATTTGAAAGCTATTCTTCATATTTGTAACCCTTAATGATACTGCTGATTCTTTAAATAATACGGACTAATTTGACCCCAGCCCCCATGTAAACCCTCTTTTAGAAAATGACTTTAATTCCATAATTCTCATAGTTATATTAATAAGAAATTCAGCATAAATAACTTTTATATAAACATTAATCCTTCTACCAAATTTTATGACAAAATCAGTTTTTAAACAATTTTGTATTAAGAAAAGGATCAATAACGTCGTCAATTGCTGAAGGATTTTTTAAAGTTGTGTTTTACTTATGAGAAGACATAGTTTTCCATTGCATTAATAAATAGTGCGGTTCCTATGTAAATACTTTGTAAAAACATCTTCAAAGTTGGATAACGGTTCTGGAATAATATCAAAAATATGTTTACTGATGAAGTAAACATTCTCCAGGTTACTTAAACATCATATATATATGTCATTCTAAAGGCCTCAGGTTCTGCTTTCTAAATCCATTGAAAAACTTAAAATCGATTTAGAATCAACTATGCTCCACACTTATAAGTTACTATAGGTACGAAAACCCGGTTTTTTAAACGTATCTCAAGATTTTAAAGTTGTTTATCAAATTTCAAAGACAGATTCTTGTTCAACACGGATCTACCTTTCAGAAAAATATGCTCACTTCCCAGGCATTTCAATTTTCGTTTATTTGGTCTCACTGTGTTATGTATTCTCAATAAATTCTAATTTATAAATCATGATAATTACATATCTCTTTATGGTTCTTTACTGTCAATGTCATATATTTGAAAAATTATGAATTAATAATTTTAAAAGTAATTTCAGGATGCACTAAGTATTACTTATTACTTATTACATTACATATAATTAAAAAATATTATATTACATATTATTAAATTGATTTCAAGCTTTTTATTTTTCAAATGTTTTTAACGGGATATTACTATCGTTAACATGCTTCCATGTTACCGGAAACAATAATGCATTTCCTGTTAATATTAAACCAACTGCAAATGGTTATGCAGTAGTCATTAAAATAAGTTATTTTCATAAAACTTTGAGCAGATACTATATCATCTATTCAATTTTAATTTCCTATGAAATGATTTGATTTGTAATATAAACGAAAATATTATTGTTTAATTAAAAAAACAAGAAATTTATTTAAATAATTTAATTTTTGTCTAAGAATTGCATTGGTTTACCAGTTTATTTGCAAAATACAACACTGCTAGCACACACATGTTGATGAGAAAGAGAAGCAAAAAAAAAATAAACAAAAACAAACAGAGTTGTGTTTGTATAACAAATAACTAGTATTTATAACAATTTTAAATGTAAAATTTATAACAAAATTATAAATAATTATTAAATTCTTTAAACTTTATATTCTTTTTTATAAACATTTTAATATATTTTATAATAATTTCATATTTTTCTTCGCAAAATTTTCAACAATAAATTTTTTAATACTTTTCCATACAACCCTGTTTGTGTGAGCTGAGAGCATGTTTATGTGGTAGAAAAGCATGCTGAAAATAAAACGTCAAAATTGCGACATTTAATAAGAAGAATTATTTGTAAAGCAAAACGCAAAGTGAACCAACCATCAGCAAGAACCTTTTTACTATTGGAATTTTAATAAAACTTTTTATCAAGTTTACAATTTATTAAAAGTGTTTAATAAATAACTGACCTACTAGAATCTTGCTAAAGATTCAACTCACCTTTGGGCAAGGATTTTAAGTGTTTCGTACTTAAGGAAACTTGCAAACTCCCACAACACCTAGTAAGCGGTGGACGGACAGACAGACGACGGAGAGCCACAAAAACACACACAGTCACTCACTCATATAAACTGCAAAGCATAGAAAATAACAAGAAGAAGCAGATAATTTAAGAATAAAATCGAAAACAATAAGGAACTGAAAACTAGAGGAGTCCAACTAGTTTCCAATTTGTACAAAAACAAAACAACCAAATAAAAGGATTTCAAAAGAGACTTTCAAAGCAAATCAACAAAAAAGTTAAAATAAAACAAACGTTTTCTAATATTTATTTTGCGGCAAATAAAATAAAAACAACTTGTTAATAACAATGGAGAAACAACCAGCAAAACAGTATGAAACGTAAGTGGAACAACCCAACCACCGTACGTATGTATGTTATTGTTTGGGCCAAGGAGTCCGTCAGCCAACAACAACAACAACAGCAAGACACACAAAAAGTGATCATTTTATGCGAAAATTTGAGATTTTTTTTGTTTGTTCGTTGCATCTAATACAAATATTATTATGTTAGGTTATGTTTAATGCTGTGTTTTGATATGAATGAAATTAAATTTGGGTCTACGTTGACTGAGGAGACGGACAGACACACAGAAAAGACATCGAGAAGGCATGCATAATGCTCGTATTATTTAAATTTGTCTATTTTTTAAACGAAAAAATCTAACTTAAAATTTGGCATATTTATTATACAAAACAATATTAGCAGCTTAATTTAGCAAACATGTTTTTAAAGAGTTTTTAAAAATTACTTTTCTATTTAGAATTTTAACCAAAAATCCAATTGGATTTATTTGTTATAGTAATACCATGACAAAAGTAAAATGTCAGTGCTAAATGAAAGAATATGAAAAATATTACAAATGTATAAATTTGGCAGTAATTATATGTTTCTTTAAAATTTGCAAATATGATTTTTTTTAATTCTTTATTTTTGTATTTTACAGTTCGAATTCATCAGCTAAACCAACGCAACAATCACATAAACCCATGCAAGCAAAAAGAGTTGGGCAATCACCCCAATCTGAAACGCCACCGAGAAACGAAATGATTTATGATCCACCAAGCATGGAAGCAAAAATGCCCAGGCCAAGGTATGTGTTTTAAAGTGTTTCGACATTTTCCGCCATTTAAGTTTGACTTATTAAAGTTTGAAGTGTAGCTTAAATTCAAAATTTTGTTAGATGGTTCGTTTACAAAGAACTTTCTCAGCAGCAGAGGTTGAAAATGGTCAGAAAGTGAAACGTAAATGTTTTTTATATGTGGTGGAATACAAAAAACTTAAACTTCCATAATTAACAAAATCCTAGAAGTTTTAAAATATTTAGGAGATCAGAAACACTAATTGATACCTTTAAAACTACTTTTGAAATTAACTTTCGCTTCTGTTGGAGCTTATGGAGTTGGGAAATGAATTGAGAAAGGAATTTAAAAGATTTTGGAAAGATCTTTAAAAGAAACAACTCGCAATTTTTTAATAGAATTTCAAACATAACATTGCATAGTCATGACCTGTTTTGTTAATCAATTCTTTAAACAGAATCTGATCGTAAATTGAAATCTTCTGAATTGGTTCCTTGGAAACGTTATGAGTCGAGACTATGGAATTATTCTGGAAAAGTTCTTTCATGATTGAGTCAGACTTGAAACTAGTTTTAGGAACTTTTAAAAAACATATACAACGAGATCTAGAAGTAATAGCGAAGTCCCTTGCTTCATGGATGCATTTCAAGAATCTAAATTATGTTTGCACTTGCTCTAGAACAAGGTCTAAGAAAATCTAAAATTTTTCTTGGGTTCGAACATTTTAAAAAGTTTCTTATGGAAAATTTCTTAAATAGAGACTTTTTAGATTTCTAGAGTTACTGATAGTTACAGTTTTCTCTAATTAGTTTTTTTTTAACTAAAATTGTTCCTAATCATATTTTTTTATTGTTTTACAGTTATTACAATTCATCTAAACCATCGTGGCCAGAATTGGTGGAGAGCGATGATAGTGACATGGAAACTGATATTGATGTTGAGAAATTACCACCCCTTGAGGTCGGTCCTCATGAGAATCGTCTACAGCACACATATTGGTTGTGGTTCTCACGTAAAGGTGCACATCGTGCAATGGATTATAGTAAATCGTTACGTGTGGTGGGTCGTTGTGCCAGTGTTCAACAATGGTGGTCACTATACTCGCATCTTAAACGTCCCACAGCCTTATCATTGTACCTGGAATTGAGTCTATTCAAACAGGGCATTAAACCGATGTGGGAAGATCCAGCCAATTCGAAGGGTGGCCAATGGGTAATACGTTTACGTAAAAATCAAATTGATCGTGCGTGGGAAAATGTCTGCATGGCCATGTTGGGTGAACAATTTTTGGTTGGCGATGAAATATGCGGTGTAGTGTTAACAACAAAGGTTCAGGTAAGTTCATAATTTTCCTAAGTTTTCATTGAAAGTGCAATAAGAAACATATATAAAAGACATTTTATTGGGAATTGAAATGAAAGTGTTTTTTTCTCGAGTATAAAAAATCAAATAATGATATAAATAATAAATGTGATTTCAAAGAAATATAATGAATAATAAAAAAAGTGCTATAAATTAATGACACAAATCAAGAATAAAATAATCTTTAATAAATAATGACAAATAAAAGGATGTCTGCATAAAAACTTCAAAATAAAGTGTTTCTTAATATTTTATATAATATGCATCAACTACGAAAGTTATAAATTTGTAAAAACATTTGCGTTGCCTATAAAATTAAACAATTTACTTAAAACTGCATACAATTTTATTAGTTTGTAAAACCTGTGTTATAAAGAAAACATGCCTTAACTTGAAAGTTTTTGTTGTTTATTAACATTTCGTATATACAACAAATTCTTAGAAAATTATTAATTTTAATGGAATTTGTTATTGTCTATTTAGAATAATTTTTGTGAATAAACACAATTTTAAGATTATTTTAACAGTTTAAAAATTTTTTCGAAGACAACATCGAATTTTCGAATTTAATTTTAAATATTCGAATATTGTATTGCCATCAAGTCTACTCTAGATTTCACAAAATTTGATAAATTTCACACACTTAAAATTTTTCGAACATAAGTTCGAATTTTCGAAAATTTTATTTTAAGTTTTTATCTTCGAAATAGGAAAATCTTAGAAAAAAGTACTAAAATAAAAGGTTAGTGAATGCCCTTGTTTTAAGGTAATTTTAACAGAATTAAAATTTATTCGAACATTATTTCGAAATTAGAAAATGGCATCAAAAATAACTAAAATTATATTTTTGTAATTAAACATAATTTTGAGATTATTTTTACAATTTCAAAAAATTTTCGAACATAACTATGAATTTTCGAACTTAATTTTGAATATTCGAACAAAGCTGCCATCAAGTTTTCTACATACTGCCAAATTTCAAATAATTCTTTCTACGTATTTAATGATTCTGAAATATTTTCGAACTTTATTTTGAATTTTCGAAAATTTTATTTTAAGTTTTTATTTTCGAAAAAATCTAAGTAAAAAGTACTAAAATCTATTCGATCTAATGTTCGAATTTGGAAAATTTAAGAAATTGGCATCAAAAAGAACTAAAATTATATTTTTGAGATTATTTTTACAGTTTCAAAAAATTTTCGAACATTACTTCGAATTTTCGAACTTAATTTTGAATATTCGAACATAGCTGCCAGTTTGTATGCCAAATTTCACACGATTCGATATACGGAATATGGTTTTAACGACATTAAACATTTTTCGAATATAAGTTTTTATGAGCCAGAGAGTAACGAATTTCTTAGAACATAACTTCGAATTTAATTTCGAATATTCGAACATAATATTGCCTTGTCATTAGTTGTACTCTCGATCGCCCAATTTCAGAAATAAATTTATCTGTGCGACGTTAGGTACGACGAATTTCGTCATACGCAATGATTGTGTTTCATTTTCATATACACAAATGTGTTCTATTTCTGACGTCGAATATTCATTCCGAAAAATTCGATCCAATACTTTAATTAAATTAAAATATAGAAAAATTAACTTAAATTTTTGAAATTTGTTTAGAAATGTTTTTTTTTTTAATTCTATTATGTTTCTAAAAACATTTTATTGAACATTTTATAATAAAATATCGAAATATTTCGAAAAAGGAAAATTTATTCAAAAATTAAAATTTGTTTCCAAGAAAAAGTTCTACAAATTTTAAACTTTTTATCAACATTTTTACTTTAAGTGTAGTTTCCTCGACTTAATGGACTGAACTAGACCTAAAACCCTTCCTTGTAATTAACTGCAGTTGTCCAACGCATTCGACGCAAAAGTATTGTATGTGTTTTACTTGGCGCTTTAGTTTATTTCGTTTGACGTTTATCAAAAAAACTGACAGTGCAAAGTGGTGGATGCAAATATAAAACACAAAAGGGAATGTTAGAAATACATTCCAACAACAGTCTTTCTGTGTTGGTATTTTCTTGTAAAAATTGTTGTCATTGATGTGGTTGTTGTTGTATAGTACACAAGTAGTCAAACAAAAAGTGAGTGACACAAAAGACAAAATCACCAAAAGAAAAGAAAAAAAGAACAAAAATAATAAGTGCTTTTTTGACGTAATGCCTGGCAAGTGGTTGTTAAAGTGACAAATTTGTAATAAAATTAAACAAAAACTAAGATAAAAAGTGCTAAATGTATAACAAATCTAAGAAATAATTAAAAAAACCTATAATATAATCAGCTGGAAATGTAAACAATAAATTAAATTTTAAACATAAAGTGCAAACTTAAACCGGAATAAAATTTTTTCCACAGAAAAAAGGGTTATAGTGGAAGGTTAAAATCGAAGAAAAAAACGTAGTGGAAGAAGAAAAAAATTGCAAAAAACCAAAATCCGGATAACAAAATAAGGAAAAACAAACACTCCCTCGCTTTTTAAGAGAATATTTTATTTAAGAAGTAAGAGAATTTGTAAGAAAGTATGAGAATTTTTTTTGTATACGAAAAACGCAAACTCTTGATAAATTGCGAAAGTAAAAGAAAAAACATTATACTCTTTTGCTACCCCCATGTACAACTGTGAAAAGTGTTGGGTTTTATTTTGAACGTAAAATAGTTTTGGCGTTTTTTTCTCGCCTTTTTCAAATACACTGAAAGAAATTGAAAATGGAACTCAAACTCGAGCCTGAATAATATTCAATTAATAATCACCCCTATCGCCAATTAACATTCCATGTGAAATATGTTCCTTCTTCACTTTTTTCGTTCACTAACTTTATTGTCGTGAAAAAAATTCCCCTGTTGTGAAATTTGTTGATGGAATTTGTAAACATTGAACAGCTATTGTGAATGAATTGTTAACAACAAGTTCACGATAACAATTTTCCCTTCGTGGGGAATGTAAATTTTCGAGGGAACAAAAGTTTCACTTCTTTTGGCGATAGTGGTGAATATAATTTCATATTTCAAAAAATCGAATAAAACCTAAATAAAGTCGAAAAGTTGATAATATTAAAAAGTCAGTCGATATTGAAAAATGAAATTTTAAATCTATAATCAGCCCTATTCTGCCTTTCGATTACATTTCCGCATTCTGTTACGGAACAGTCGAAAAAAAATATCCCAACAAAAAATAAAAAAAAAGAATCAAATCTATTTCAGTTCAATGCTTTACATTTGTATTCCATTGAGTTCCAAATCAAATTCTAGGTGGATAAAATTAAAAAAACTATCTTCTGAATTTATATAAATATTTTCGGTAGATCTCTTCCAATAGAAATCCATACTTTTACAACTTTTACAAATATTGGAATAAACTTTTATTTAATGTAAATTTTATATTCATTGGACTCACTTTTGTCCTGTTTATTTTGTGGCCTCCGGTGAGTTACTGTTTAGTGTTCTACACCTTTTTCAATTGAAAATGAGAACTTTTCATTTCAATTCAGAAAATATCAATTGAAATTGAGAATTTCCATTTGAAATTCAGAAGAGGACATTTGAAAATGGGATTTTTCAATTGAAATTTAGAAAAGAACAATTGAAAATGAGAATTTTCATTTTAAATTGAGAAAATATCAATTGAAATTGAGATTTTCCTTTTGAAAATCAGAAAAGAACAGTTGAAAATGAGATTTTTTATTTGAAATTCGGAAAACAACAATCGAAAATGAGATTATTCATTTTAAATTCAGAAAAATCCAATTGAAAACGAGATTTTCCATTTGAAATTCAGAAAATTCCAGTTGAAAATGAGATTTTTCATTTGAAATTCAGAAAAATGCAATTGAAAATGAGAAAAAGGGTAAATGAAGATGATAATATTACAATTAATTTTAACCAAAGAATATTTATTACAAGAGTATGCATCTCGACGTGCGGGTTGTCATGATTTACACGTATTCTTTATGTATCTCGACCCGCTATTGAAAATTTATGTTGTATGAGATGCACATTCTATGTTATTTGTTTTAACTTAAGTTTGAAAAACATCCATACATGTAGTTTTCTGAATTTCAAACGAAAAATCTCATTTTCAATTGGATTTTTCTAAATTTCAAATGAAAAATCTCATTTTCAATTGGAATTTTCTGAATATCAAATGGAAAATCTCATTTTCAACTAGAATTTTCTGAATTTGATATGAAAAATCTCATTTTCAATTGTAGTTTTCCGAATTTCAAATAGAAAATCTCATTTTCAAGTGTTCTTTTCTGAATTTCAAATGGAATATCTCAATTTCAATTGATATTTTCTGAATTATAAATGAAAATTCTCATTTTCAATTGTTCTTTTCTAAATTTCGTAATTTCAAATGAAAAATCTCATTTACAATTGAGTTTTTCTGAATTACTGTTGAAAATGGTATAGTCTGATAGACCGGAGGTGATGGGTTCGATTCCCACCTTAGGTACTGGTTAAGGATCCCAAGAAATACACCTAGGCCTCTTTTAATCCTTTAAACTTGGGTCTTAAATATAAAAATAAGGAACTCAAATAATGTCATAAAAAGTCGATAAGTCGAAAAAAGTCAATATTGAAAAATTATTGAAAACACTTTTTAATTGGAAATTTCTGAAGTACAATTGAAAATGTCTGAAATACAATTAGAAAGTTCTGAAATACATTTAGAAATGCTGCAGAAAAAGAAAAATATTGAAAAAGTAAGATTTTACAATTTCTAAAAATTACATTTATGACTAAAAGATCTCCAATCCAAAAAGTATTTTATAAATCGACTTTCGGTGAATTGACTTTTTGTCAAAAAAAAAAAAATGCGAAGTCTAAGTACTACATAAATATTTTGTCTTAACAGGGCCCAAAGCCATGTTGAAGAAACCTAATTTGGAGACATTGTAGCCATAAAAGTAATTTTTAAAAATTTTAAAATCTTGATTATTGTCAAATTTTATTTTTCTAGTTTTAAGCAAAATGTCTTAAAGTTTCTTTTAAATCTAAATTTGTACATTTTTGAGGCCATTTAAGGCTAACTAACCCACACAGTTTGCTTTATTGGGGATATATGCGAGAGTATTTTTTACACAAACTAAAAACGTCTCTTTTCTAGTTGATAATTCTATGACCAGAGCTCCCCAATTCAGTCGAGAGTAAGCCTTTACAACGAAAGCAACGTTGCTAAAAATAGTAAAAAAAATATTTGAAAAAAGCAAAAATATAACAAATATTCTAAATGCAAACGGGTGTAGTAAAATTATAAAAAAAATTGATTAATACAAAAAGATTCTAGGCAAAAAAAAATTACAATTTGCTCTACATTTTCCAGCAAAAATAAATGAAGTGTTGCAATTTTATAGTGATTGTAAAATTATTTTTGGAAAATTAGTTATTATCAATAAAATTAAACACCCACCGTTGTATTAAATTAATAATTAATAAAATTTATAAAAAAAACCGAACCTACGCGCGTGAATATATAGAAAAAAAAAATTATAGTATCCCTCCCCTTTTTCATTAAATAGCAACAGAAAAAAAGGAAAAAAATAACGTTTAATAAAAAAAAACGGCCGCCTGAAAAAGAAAATTGTTTTTTGCTTTAACTTTAACGAGTGAAGAAGCCTTCTTCTTTGCGCAGAAAATCGATTTTTTTACATTGATTAAAAAAAAAGGCACACCAACATACCACCACTAAGTTTTAGCTAAGGTTCGGTCATACACAGATATTTGTATCTGAAATAGAAAAAGAAAATAATATAAAAAAACGTGGAAATTTGTTGATTAATTTATAACAAAATAAGTAAAATATATAATTGTTGTTTTACAATAACTTAAAATATTAAAATTGCTAATAAATATTAAAAAAATAGTGTTAAAATATTTACTACACTTTTTATTATAGGCTAAAGAAGAAGGAAAAATTTAATTAAAAGAAAATTTAAATACTAATACAATACAACTCTGGGTGTTTGTTTAATATAAAAAAAATCTTAAAAAGAGAGAGAAAACAAAAAAAAAAGATAAAGAGCCCCCCTAAAAACAAACACATACACACTTAAAATTGACAAAATAAATTAAAGAAAAAAACAATTGGATTACAAACGGGTATATTATAAATAAAGTGCTTGTGTTTCTCTAGCTAACGGCCAAGGTTATTCAGTCCCTTTAACTTAAATTTAAAAAAAATATATAAAACAATAGTTTAAAATTATCAAGTAAATGTTAATAATTAAATCAATTTATCAACAAACTTATAATTTTATCTGCCATTCATACTCTTAACGTAATAATTGTTAGTAGAAAAAAAAATTGTATATCTTTTGCTAAAGAGCAAAAATGCTTTATGAATACAAAGAGAAAGAGAGCTTGCTAAAATTTTAACAAGAGCATTATAGTTGTTTCACAAAAGAGTTTAAGAGAAAGTGTTTTTTTTTTTTTTTGAAGAATAACCAAACAAAGCATAATAAATATAAAAAATACGCCAAAAATATAATAAAAAAATACATATATTTTATTCTATTTTAACAGAAATATTAACAAAAGCTACGTAATACATATAAATATAAAAAATATCTCAAGATAAAGTGAACAAATCAAATTCAAATAGAATTTAAAATAAAAAAAAAAAATAAATTTGTGTAAAAAGTGAGTCACGTTTTCAGCAAAATTTCTGCTGTTGGCTTTTGTATACTCCAAAACCAGTAGTAAAGAAGAAAAAAACAAAATACGGAAGAAGAAAAAAACACTGCTGGTACTACTTACTCGCTATACTTGTTTGCCCGGCTGTGTTCCAGTACCAGCAACAACACATACATCAACTACCACCTGCAAAATCCCCTCCCTCAACAAAGACGTAAAGAACGTTATCATCCTACAACAGTAAAGCGAAAAACAAAACTAAAATTTGTGTAAAAGTGGCATTGAAAAGTATATAAATCATCAGATAACAATAAAACAACAAAAAAAACTAATCTTAGCAATGTTGAATAACAAAAAACTAAATTAAAACTTAATAAAAAACGCAGACTAACACAACTGCTAAAAAAAAAATACATATTTTTCTTGAAAAAAAAACTATAAAAAACTAAACCCAAACTAAACTTCTACTTTAAAACAACACTAAACGTTTAAACTCCTTCAAACACCAACTCTCTAAAGCGAAAATCCAACCAGCAACATGACAAAAGACAGATTAGCCGCTTTACATGCAGCCCAATCGGATGATGAGGAGGCCGAAGAGGTGGCTGTTAATGTTGACACCACTCATGACTCCTATATGGATGATTTCTTTGCCCAGGTCGAAGAAATACGCAATATGATCGACAAGGTGCAAGAAAACGTTGAGGAGGTTAAGAAAAAACATTCGGCCATTCTATCTGCACCCCAATCGGATGAGAAAACCAAACAGGAGCTAGAAGATCTCATGGCCGATATTAAAAAGAATGCCAATCGTGTTAGAGGCAAACTAAAAGGCATCGAACAGAATATTGAACAGGAGGAGCAACAGAATAAATCATCGGCTGATTTGCGTATACGCAAAACTCAGCATTCGACACTGTCACGTAAATTTGTTGAGGTCATGACCGAATACAATCGTACACAAACCGATTATCGTGAGCGCTGCAAGGGAAGAATACAACGTCAATTGGAGATCACCGGTCGTGCTACGACAAACGAAGAATTAGAGGATATGTTGGAGCAGGGCAATCCGGCCGTCTTTACGCAGGGTATCATCATGGAAACGCAACAGGCTAAACAAACTTTAGCCGATATAGAGGCTCGTCACGCTGATATTATGAAATTGGAGACATCGATCAAGGAATTGCATGACATGTTCATGGATATGGCTATGTTGGTGGAGTCACAGGGTGAAATGATCGATCGCATTGAGTATCATGTGGAGCACGCTATGGACTATGTGCAGACTGCAACTCAGGATACAAAGAAAGCTTTGAAATATCAGAGTAAAGCCCGGCGAAAGAAGATTATGATTTTGATATGCTTGACTGTGTTGGGTATCATAGCTGCTTCATATGTTAGCAGTTATTTCATGTAAATGCCATGTTCTTTTTTCTTTTATTTTCTTTTCATTATTATTTTTTAATTATTATTATTTAAACATTTAGATGCGCTTAAGTTATTATATATTATGATTATTTTATTTTTTTTTATTATAAGTTTTTTTAATTACGTTTTTTTGTTTAATTTTTTAGTTTAGCCTAGTGATTATTTATATAAATTTTTTATATTTAAATTTAAACTTAATTAGGTTCTCCTTAATGAAAAAAAGTCATAAAAACAATTTAATATTAATAATAATTATAGAAAAACAGAAAACAAATGAAAGTAAGAAATTGTTTAAACAAAACAAAGAAATTATTCTTATATATTATATACCTTATATATATAAATATTTAACTTAAAAATATAAAAAACAAAAATAATTATTAATCATACTTCTTTAAAAAAAACCAACAAAATAATAATACAAAAAAAATGTAGAACAATTTCTTTAAACCACAAACAAAAAAAAAAATCTCTTTAAAATAATAAAAAATTAAATTAAATAATACAAAAAAAAACTATTAGCTACAAAATAATAACAAACCAAACTAAAGCTAAAATGTTATGCGAAATTTAAACAAAAAAACCAAAATAAGATTCTCAAGTTTAAGTTTAGTTTGTTAAACAGAAAAAAATTATATTACGAAAATCTTACTAAGAAAAACAAAATCAATTTCTTGCAAATTATTATTATTATTAAAAGTAAAAGATAAAAAAAAACTCTTATTAATATTTAAAACTACAGTAAATAGCAAAATTAACCTGCCATAAAAGGCCTTAAAATTAAAACCATTCTACAAATTCAAATGGCTTTTTCAGGCTAAAAAAAATTTATTAGGTTTTCTCGTCTAGATTTTTCTATATTAATTTAACATTTTTAAGGCCTTTTTCTTCTTCTATAGTTTTGATTTTTAACTAAATTTTCTTAGAAAAATTTAGTTAAACAAAATCTTTTCTTTTTAAACCATTTACTTAATTAGTTTTAAATGACTATTTGAAAAATTTTCAGCAAACTAGTTTTTTCAATTTGTGTTTTACATACATATATTTTTTTTATTACAATATTTATATAAATAATTGTTTTTTGTTTTCTTTTTTTTTACTCTTCTTCAAATCATAAATGTTTAATTTTTATTTTTAACATTTAAATATTTATATATAAAAAAAAACTAAAACAAACTTTTTCCTATTTATTGTTATAAAATAAAGTAGAATCTCTTGAAAACTTAAAACAAATGCATATTTTTAAAAACTTTGAATCTCTATATAAACCTAACCTAGACTCTCCTTTTATCTATTAGTCACCAGTTAAAATTATTTTGTTTCTTTTTTTTTTAGCAAGAACAGTATGTCAAATGTTTGTGATTAAAAAAATTTTGCTGATTTTTATAGCAGCCTCTTCTTGGTTTTAAATGTTTTAAACTAAAGAAAATTTTCAAAATATTTTAATAGTATTTTAATTTATTATGTTTTTCTAAAAAAAAACAACAAATCAATGTGACAGACATACTGTTTTTTATTTCAAATCTCAAAAACCAAACCATTTTTAAAAATGTTTTTAAAAATAAACTTGATAAGATAAATGTGTTCTCTGATTTCTGTAGATAATAACTCATAAACTGTTAGCAGTTTTCTAATGAAAATTTCTTAGAAATTAAAATATATTTTCTATAGAATATTCCCCATTACCTACAAGAAATTTGCTATAAAAACAATTTCTTATAAAACTAGTTTTTAGGTTTAAAACTAAAGTTAATTTCTAAACCACTCCATAACACTTTTTCTTAAAAAACTTGGTTTGGTTTTTGTTTTGTCTCAATCTTCCCTTGATCCCCCTTCCCACGCCCCCCCCCTTTCTATTACAAACTTAAAAGTTTTTTAAGAGCGCATTTACTTTTGTATTATAGTCAATTAATTAATAAAAAAACAAACATTTAAAAAAATGTAATTAATTTTGTTTGAAATCTTCTTTAAATCTATAATATAAATATTATAAAAAAACACACACTTTGCAATTTAGACAACTAAATATTTAATATTTATAAAAAAAAAAAACAAAAAACAAAATTAAATCACAAAAAAAAAAAAAAAAATTATTTAGTATGTATATTTATAAAAGTAAACAAAAAACAACAAAAGCAAATAAACACAAAATACAATAAAAACTAACTACTTAAACAAAATAACAACAACAACTATATAAATAAATATATTATTTAAATAAAAAAAAACTTACACACCTACAAAACATACAATCAAAGAATTTTTTTATTAAATCTCTTTTTTAAATTTTTTAAAAATTGTTTATTTTTTTTTTTAAATAATACTTCTTGTATATGTTTTTCTTAAATTTTAAACTATAGTGCAATTTTTTTAAAGAGTCTTGTTTATTAATATTATTCATTTTCTTTTACTTTAAGTATTTTTTAAAAAACAACTGTGCTAAGAAAAAACGTTGTTAAAAACGTTTTATTTTTTTTTATATTTATCTACTTATTTTTATAAATAACTGAAACAGTTGGTGACTTTTTAAAGGAAATTTTGTTAAAAGAATTTTAAAAGTTTAAAATTTTTAGAAAATTCTAAAATTTTTTTAAAAATTTCCTTAAAACTTACATTAATATATTAAGTTTTCTATAGAAACACTTCTTTAAAACTGAGACAAGTTTTATTTAGAAAAATTTTCAAATTTTAAAAAAAAAGTTTTCTATAGATTTTTTAAACTTTTTGAAAGAGAAATTTCTTTGCAAATAACATTTAAACATTTTATAACATTCAAAGGAATATTTATTTAAAATCGAGACTAGTTATCTTTAGAAAATTTTTCAAAATTTAAAAAAGTTTTCTATTGATTTTTAAAATTTTGAAAAATTTCTTATAGAAAAAGTCTTCCCAAGGACGAATGTTTTCGTATAGAAAATGTCTTCCCAAGGAAGACTTTTTTCTTATAAAAAAAGTCTTCCCAAGGAAGACTGTTTTCGTATAGAAAAAGTCTTCCCAAGGAAGACTGTTTTCGTATAGAAAAAGTCTTCCCAAGGAAGACTGTTTTCGTATAGAAAAAGTCTTCCCAAGGAAGACTGTTTTCGTATAGAAAAAGTCTTCACAAGGAAGACTGTTTTCGTATAGAAAAAGTCTTCACAAGGAAGACTGTTTTCGTATAGAAAAAGTCTTCACAAGGAAGACTGTTTTCGCATAGAAAAAGTCTTCCCAAGGAAGACTGTTTTCGTATAGAAAAAGTCTTCCTAAGAAAGACTGTTTTCGTATAGAAAGTCTTCCCAAGGAAGACTGTTTTCGAATAGAAAAAGTCTTCACAAAGAAGACTGTTTTCGTATAGAAAAATTCTTCCCAAGGAAGACTGTTTGTGGTTCTACCCACCACTAATTCAGCTTTTGTTGCGTCGAATGGTTTTGCGTTTGTCAGGTTAACTCTCTTTAAAGTTATTACATTCGCCCTTTCGTTGTTGACTACCCACGAGTGGCCTGGCAATCATATGATGTAAATCTTATCACTGGGAGAGTATTCAGTTAAAGCTTTCTTACAATCCAATACGATCTTAGATTTAATTCTATCACCTGATATCGCCCGGTAAATATATTAAAGGCTGTGGGCGGCATATTTGGTCTAATCCAATTTACACATTCTGTTATTGCTTGGACTTCTGCCTGGATGCTTGTGTTATGATTAAGTAAACGGTGGTATGTTTCCGATTCTGGGTCTTCAATAAAGAACCACAGGCCCACTTTTTCCCCCAATTTAGAGCCATACGTGTAACAACGGATTCCTACTGGTATTTGCTCTAGTTTTTCGCTTGACCAAGACATTCTATCTGGTATCAGCTTTTCAAAGTTTCCGACATATTATGTGTCTGGTATGCGATTAGGCACGTCCGATGATTGTGTATAAACTTCCAATGTTTTTAATAGATATTTTTACAAAATTAAAATTTCTATCCAACAAAAGGTCTCCACAATAATACAATTTTTCAGGATATAACTTTTCAGTAGCTGAGGCAAACTGTCTAAAAAAATTATTCTATAGAAAATTGCTTTGAGTCTAGAGAGAAATTTCTTTGAAAATAAAAACTGAACCAAGTTTTTGTAGAAAATCTTTTAAGAATCCTAAGGAAAAATTCTCCAAAGTTGAGACAAAGTTTTCTCGAGGAAATCTATTTAACACTAAAACAATTTTTCTGTAAAATTTTTCTCTAACAAAAATTGTCCAAAATATTCTATAGAAAATTTTTTTCAAACATAAGCAACTGGTTTTTGTAGAAAACTTTTAAGAATCCCTAAGAAAACATTCTCCAAAATTGTGGAAAGTTTTCTATGAAAATCTCTTCAACACTAAAACAAGTTTTCTATAGATTTTTTCATTATTCAAAATTAAAATTTTCCTCTAACAAAAAGTCTCCAAAGTTAACACAATGTTCCTAAAGAAAATTTCTCAATAACTGAAGCAAACTGTTTAAAGAAATTATTCTATAGAAAATTTTGTTGAAATGTATAAAAATATTTTTTTGATAAAACAAATTTTTCTGGACAAAATCTCAAAAAACCAAGAAACTAAAATCTAATTTTTACACAATCTTTCAGGTTTTTTATGCAAAATTTCTTAAAAATTCAGACAAGTTTTCTGAAGAAAATTTTTCAATAACTAAGACAAAGTGTTCAAATAAAAGATTCTATAAAAAATTACTTTGAAAGTAAGAAAAACATTTCTTTGAATATAAGACAAGTTTTCCTGTGACACTGAACCCAGAAACTGTAACTAAGAAACTAGCAAAAAATTCTGAATATATTTCTTTATTAAAAAAAAAAAATGTCACAAATTAAAGACAAAAGGTCAGTACAGAAATAGTATGCTAATTTAAATTTACAAAATTTATTTCAAAAAAGGTCAGTTGACAAAAACTTTGTTCATACTATAATCAATAATTTTTTTTCTTAATATTTTTCTGTTACTTGTCACTTACTGTCTCGGTTTAGGGT